GGCTCCACGCTGGGCATGGAGCCTACAAATACATACATACATACATAAAATTTTAAAAATTAAAAAAATTTTTTAAAGAAATAATAAATGTATGACACTTAGCACAATGCCCAGCAGTCAGATATTTGCAAGTGGTGGTGGTGGTATTTCTAGAAGAGTGATTGGCACACTTCAGAGGCTATCATTATTGTTACTATATTTATCTGTTTTCCATATCCACATACTCCTTTACCTAATCAATTCTCTTACATGATCCCTGGGTTTATCCAATGCTGGTGTTTGTATCAGTGATCATTTGCAAATTTTTGCAAATAACGTGAATGGAGAACCAGAAAATAAAATTCAACTGAAGCATGATAGACACAGAGATATATTCAAGCTGGTATCCATAAGTTGTTCCTGGGTGGGGGTGCCTGGGTGGCATCTGCCTTTGGCTCAGGTCATGATCCCAGGGTCCTGGGATCGAGCCCCACGTCGGGCTCCCTGCTCAGCAGAGAGCCTGCTTCTCCCTCTCCCTCTGCCTGCCGCTCCACCTGCTTGTGCTTTCTCTCTCCCTCTTTCCCTGCCAAATAAATAAATAAAATCTTAAAAAAAAAAAGGTGTTCCTGGGTGATAGCCCTTCTTGGGCCTTAGCCAAATGACCATCCAGACTGAAGATAGGAATTTTCTATCCCCGCTTCAATATCCACTTGCAAAGTGCTTTCAGCCACTGCCCTGAAATGAAAGAGGAGGAATCATTGGTACATCTATTCATTTATCCAACAAGTATTTTACAGGTGCAAGAGTGGGCGCTAGGGATACAACCATAGCAAGATACAGTCCCTGCCTTCCAGGTGCTTACAGGCTGGAGGGGAACAGCTTCCAGCCAAGGAAAGGGTAACTCCTAGGTGTCTGGGTTGGGCAACTGTGTTAATGCTCACGCCACCCACCACTGAGACTGGAAATGCAGCAGGACGTGCTAGATGTGAGGTACCTGTGGGACTACAAGTACATGTATTCAGAAGAGAGCTGAGTTTATGAGCCAAGAGCTCAGGAGGGACGGTGGGGCAAGAGATATAAATCCAGCAATTGAAGACATAGGCACTGATTGCCTAGGACGTGGGCCAAGAACAGAACCCTGGAGAATTCTGTTGTATAAAGCATGGCCTTCTATTTCTCTTCTATGTCCTACCATTTAAAGACATGCTGACAACACTGGGAGATATTATTGGGTAAATATCTCTAGAAAAAGAACAGTAAGGGGGCACCCGGCTGGCTCAGTTGGTAGAACACGTGACTCTTGACCTCAGGGTTGTAGGTTCAAGCCCCATGTTGGGTGTAGAGATTACTTAAAAATAAAATATTTAAAAGAAAAGAAAATAGTAAGTTCAACCAGTGAGAAAAATACATTTGTTTATTTTTAAGATTTTATTTATTTATTTATTTAGAGAGCATGTGAGCAGGGTGAGGGGCAGAGGAAGAGGGAGAGAGAGAGAGAGAGAGAGAGAGAGAGAGAATCTCAAGCAGACTCTACACTGAGCATGGAGCCCAACACGGGGCTCAATCCCACGACCCTGAGATCATGACCTGAGTTGAAATCAAGTCGGATGCTTAACCGACTGAGCCACCCAGTGCCCCGAGAAAAATATATTTAAATTATAGTTGGTCCCTGGGGCACCTGGGTGGCTCAGTCGTTAAGCGTCTGCCTTCAGCTCAGGTCATGATCCCAGGGTCCTGGGATCGAGCCCCACGTCGGGCTCCCTGCTCAGCAGAGAGCCTGCTTCTCCCTCTCCGACTGCCCCTGCTTGTGTTCCCTCTCTCGCTGTCTCTCTCTCTCTGTCAAAATAAATAAATAAAATCTTTTAAAAAAATAAATTATAGATGGTCCCTGGCTTCCAGTGGTTTAACTTGTGATTTTTTCAACTTTATGGTGGTGCAAAAGCAATACACATTGAGTAGAAACCATACTTTGGGTTTTGGATTTTGATCTTCTTCCGGGCTAGCAATATGCAGTCTGACACTCTCTCGTGATGCAGGTCAGTGGCAGCCAAGCAGCCACACAGTCAGGAGGATGAAAAACTGATACACTTAACAACCATCTAGTTCTCACTTTCAGTACAGTATTCAATACATTACATGAGCTATTCCACACTTTATCATAAAATAGGCTTTGTGTTTGATGACTTTGCCCAACTGTAGGCCAATGTAAGTGTTCTGAGCCATGTTTAAGGTAGGCCAGGCTGAGCTGTAACAGTCGGTAGATTAAGTGTATTAAATGCATTTTTTGACTTACAATATTTTCAGTTCATGATGCGTTTATCGGGACGCAACCCCATCATAAGTTGAGAAAGACCTGTAGCTGATTCCATCTCTCTTCATGGGAACAGGTTGAGGAAAGGCTATGGCAGATGGACCTGCACATAAGTAAAGATAATTTATAACAACATTGTTTGTAAGAACAACCCCATCCTATTGGGATTTTTATGGAGGTTCCATCATGTAGGCACGATCAATTATTAAGTCCATTTCTAGCCCCTCTCCCCTTTCTGGAGGATGGTGAGTGGGGCTGAAAATTCTAAGCTTCTAATCAAGACTTGGTCCTTCTGGTAACCAGCCTCCATCCAGGAGCCCATCCAGAGTCACCTCACCAGAACAAAAGATGCTCCTAAGTGCTCTTATCACTTCAGAAATTACAAGGGTTTGAGCTCTGTGCCAGGAACATGGGACTGAGACCAATATGTGCTTTTCTATCAGCTCATATCCAGTGTTGGTATAAAAGAAATTCCTAGTTATTTCAACCAGATCATCAGATGCTTTAGATCAAGATCCAAGACTGTCAGATTTATACCCTTTATGTAACTTCCCCATGTTTTCCCCTTAAATTTTATCTTTTCTCTTGTAATGATGGACATTAAAGCCTTAAAATGAAGAGGGTCTGCACACTTGTTTTCAGAGACAGAAAGAAAGGGTGGATGTAAGGAGACCATCTTCCCAGAGCTGATCTTGGAGGGAAGAAAAACCCAATAGTCTGGATAGGCGGTGACAATTACCAAGGGGAATGGGAGTATGGTGTGAATCCCTGCAACCTGCCTTGGCTAAAAAAAGGAGAGCTTGAGAGGAGCCTGCCTCAGCATGTGAACTTCCCCACCACCACCCAGGGGGACTTAGGGGAAAGGGGTTCCTCAAATGCAGTGATAAATCAGCTTTGCAGAGTAATAGGATTAAATTCGAAACTGTTACAGGTGAGGTGTGACTAGCCCATTCTTGTATCCCAGAGAGCTAGGCCTTTTCTTCATTCAACAGGTATTATTTTATTTTCATTGTTACTAAAATAGCACAAAGGAACACCTCTATTTGTTCTTTTACCTTATGTTGATCTTAGAATAACATCAAAAAGGCTTACTGTTCATTGATCTTCAAACCACACTGGAAGCTTTAAAGGAGGGAAGATTGTTTGCTCCCATTTCTTCCCCTTTTTCCTCTCCAGTTCTAACAACTTGCTACATTTAATCCCAGCTTAGCCTCCTTTTTCCCAGAAAAATCATCAACAAACATGTATAGGTGGGCACCCGTAGATTCACTGAAGTATAAGATTCCAGCTTTGCTCTCAGGGCGTTTGCAGTCTTGTCAGGGGACAAATAATTACAGTCAGGAGCAACTACTAATGTCCAAGAACCTGTGTTCAATGCGAAGTCAGAGGACTTGGTAATAATGGCTTCAGGAATCCAGCTGAGGCAGAAATCCCTCAGGGTCGGGGCGCCTGGGTGGCTCAGTCGGTTAAGCGTCTGCCTTCAGTTGAGGTCATGATCCCAGGGTCCTGGGATCGAGTCCCACGTCAGGCTCCTTGCTCGGCGGGGGTCTGTCCTCCCTCTCCCTCCGCCCCTCTCCTGGCTTGTGCGCTCTCTCTTTCTCTTGCTCGCTCTCAAATAAAATCTTTTTAAAAATTAAAAAAAAAGAAAGAAAGAAATCCCTGAGGGTCAAGACACTCAACCTTCTTGGAGAAGATGGACCTTGAAGGTTGGGTTAGATTTAGAGAAGGAATAGGCTACGTGAGGCTGGTGTAGGGTGTGAGGCAAGGCTGGGGGGCATCTTTGTGGAATAACAAGGGACCAGGTTCGCTGGACGAGAGGACAGGAGACAGCAACAATTGGCTGAAGCAGTTTCTGATTCAGTGAAAGTCTCAAGTAGGATTTCCCCAGATTAATTGAAGCCCTGTGTGTGGCGAACATATCCGGCAGAGCATGAGAGGGATGTAACAAAGGATCTGATGGCTGGGACGTGCTGGCTGAATATGGAGTCGTGGGACCAGGATTGTGTTCAGGGAAGGAGACAGGGTCTGCATATCTGCCCCATCTCCTTCTGACTGTCTGCACAGTAGGGGCCAATGTAAGAGGGAATTTACAAGAGTCCGTCGCTTGTGCTCCCTGCAAGCTCAGCTCGTGTTCTTTCTTTCTCTTGTTCTCTCCATCTCTCCCTCTCCCCTTTCCTGCTCACGGCCAGATGTCCAGGAGGAGTCCTTTCTCACTGTGAGTTTTGGTTGGAACGTCAACCTGTGACATTTGCCTTTTTAGAGCAAATGTGTGCATGCACAGATTCGTAGTGAGTGTAAAATATGGGAACTCTACCAATGCTCACTTGGCCTGGGAGCCTCACGTCTCCAGACCTGGCTCTGACACCTTTTTGCTCTGTGAACTTGGGCTGGCACGTAAACAGCCTGCCCTTCGGTTTTGTTGATGTGTAAAACGGAGATGCTAATACCTCCCTACCTACCTTGTGGAATTTTCTTGAGGTTCAAATGAAATTATGGTCATGAGAGCGCTTTGGAGACTAACAGACTGATTCTTAGCTCAAGGTGAAGATTGCATGGGGGTTAGGAGTGGTGAAGTTGGGAAATCTCAATAAATCCCACCAGCCCTATGATGTGAGAGAGCTATTTCACATCATTAAAATGGGTTTAGTTATATAGCTTCCTCTCTGCTGTTTCAGTGGCTGTCTCGGAATGATGTCTTTTTCCTCCCTAGATATGCCTAAATGCAGAACCCAGCGCCCCTCTCCAAGTTCCCGCTCATCTCGCCTGGTCTCCTCATCGATGGGCAGGGCTCCCGGCCACCAAAGCAGCCACGAAAATCCTTCATGCAACATCTTCAGAGGCACTCTGGGCTTCAGGCATCACCCAGCCAGGCTCCAGATCCGAAGTCAATTTAAAAATGTGAAAGGATTTTGATAGAAGTGACAAGGTGCTCTACACATTGGAGAGTTGGATGTTATTGGGTCCTCTCTTAGAAACTTTCAGCTTAGGTACCTACTTGGGAAAGGGAGTTCTACAGTATTTCAGTCAAAGGTATTCATGGTATAAGTGCTGACGTAGTTACAAACTTAGACACAAATGTGAGGCTAGATACCATGGGGTTGATAAAGGGACACAGGATAGCAACAGTGGTAATATTGGGAGTGTGGGGCAGGGTCCCAGAAGATGCAGACAGCACACTCCCAAGGCTACTTGAGCAGTTTAATGACGGGGCTGTTTACCGTGGTGTCTCGTTGGCTAGAGCTGCCATCACAAAGTACCACTGTCTTCATCTGTTCCAGCAGCCATAACAAAAATACCAGAGATGAGTGGCTTTTAAACAACAGGCATTTATTTTCTCACAGCTCTGGCGGCTGGGAACTCTAAGATCAAGGAGTCGGCAGGGTAGGTTACTTCCGAGGCCTCTCTCCTCGGCTTGTGGGTGGCCACCTTCTCCCCGTGTCTTCACATGGTCTTCTTTCTGGGTGGGTCTGTGTCCTCATCTCATCTTATTATAAGGATACAAGTCAGATTAGATTAGGGCCCACCCATATGACCTCATTTAATCTTAATTACCTCTTTGAAGACCCTATCTCCAAAGACAGTCACTGTTTTGAGGTCCTGGGGGTTAAGACTTCACTATAGGAATCTGGGTCGGGGGTTGGGGGACTGGGACACAATTCAGCCCACAACAACACTGTAGGGAGGGTTAAGAGAATCAAGATGAGATGGTGAAGCACCTAGGAACTAGCAACGGTGGAAGCCTTTGTTATCCTGTGGCATGAAGAGGCAGAAGGGAAAGGACCTGTTGTTCCTAGAACCCAGTGAGAGCTGTAGCCACAGAGAGGGGCTGCCGAACAGGATGTATGCTCTGTGGTGGAGGAACACAGTCACTGTAGATAACAAGGCCTGGCAGGGAAGGAAGAGGGAGAAGCCCTCTCTCTCCCCACCCCTCCACACTCCAACAGCACTTGGCTTTGGTCAGACCCATCCAGAAGTCAGAGAACAAAGACGACTGGGGAGAAACATGGCCAGGAGTGAGTGGGAGGGGTACGATATGAGTGGGACAGTGAGGAATAACCAGCACAATGGGGGCAATGTAAAAATGTCCAAAGAAGGAATTATAATTGATTTTTAAACAATGTAAATGGGCTTCAAAGAGTCATTGGAAAGCAGAAAAGGTTACCTGGCTGCAAAAATATTAGTCATACATCCTAAACTAAACCACCTTCTCATGTAACCATTTCAAGGTCCCAGAAGTTAACCATTCTAGGATAGTTACCTAAGTAAAGCAGAATGATAGAAAACCAAATGTTTGTCAATCATGTAATATTGAACACTCATGTTCTTGTATTCCATACTGTAACATACATCTACATAGTTGTTTTTGAATGGTTCAAGATGGTGGCCTGGAAGGATGGCCCAGGATACAGTGTAGAGTGGTTTGGATGCCCAAATGATTGGTGTAGGACAAAACAGAACCAACCTACAATTGATTAGTTTGTACCACCCAAGGTGATACTAACACATGACTCTGAGGCAGAGAATAAAAAAAAACAAAAACACCCAGGATGAGACCTGGTGTTCTTCCCATGGGCAGAGCAGATGGCTATCAGTTAAGATTTCCTCTTCCTGAAGGCGGAGGCCTCATGGTCAGCCCTCAGGAGCCAAGGGCAGCTGTGCACTTGGGGTGGCCGACAGCTCCTGGATTCTGCCCTGCTTTGCCCCCTGGATTATGTCAGGATCCAGTCACATTGTGGGCCAATATTTGAATGGACCAGTCTGGAGTACGTCCCTGTCTCTTCTGAAATAAACCAGAATCTTCTGGGGCAAGGACCTATCAAGAGAAAGAAGGGCTTATCTAGTACAAGTGGCTACATCTTGTCTCAAGCTGTATTTGGGTTATCTATTCCTATAAAACAAACCAGCCCCAAACTTGGTTGCTTACAACAACAGTCTGTTATTCTCCTCATAAATCTACAGTTTGGGAGGGGCCTCAGGAAGAGCTTATCTCTGATCCACACAACAGCCTCTGGGTCCTTCCAATAGAGGGCTGGAAGATCCAATTCCAAGATGGTGTAGGGACATGGCTGGGAAGCGCATGCGAGTCTTTCACTGGGCGTTCGGCCAGGGCTGAGGGCAGGGGTCCCTGTTCCTCTTCATTTGGGCTGGAGTTCTTGTAGCATGGGGACTGGGTTCTAAGGATGAGCATCCCAAGAGAGAGACGGGTGGACCCTGAATCACCTCTTTTGTCCTAACCTCGCAAGTCTCATAGTGTCACTCCACTATGCTCTGGTGACGAGTTTCAAGAAGAGCAGGCAGTGATTTGGGAGAGTTGCAAGGTTCTGGAAGAACATGTGGGATGGGAAATATAATTGGGGCCATTTTAGAATAGACTGTTTGCCTCAGGATGGTTCCTTGTGTGACCCTTAGTCATCATTGGTCACACCACAGGCCAGGTGGCTTAAACAATAGACATTTATTTTCTCACAGCTCTGGAGGCTGGAAGTCCAAGATCAAGGTGTTGGCGGGTTGGCATCTGGTGAGACCTTTCCTTTGGGGTCACCTTTTCTTTGTGTGCTCACATGACCTCTCCTTGGTACCTGTGTGTGGGGGAGAGGTTTTCCCTGGTGTGTCTTCTTATAAGAACACCAATCCTATCAGATCAGGACGCCACCCTTATGGCCTAATTTAACCTTCCTTCCTTCCTAGTGGCCTCATCTCCAAATACAGTCATTCTAGGGGTTCAACATATGAATTTGCATGGGGACACAAGCATTCGATCCATAACATTTCCCCATAGTGATATGAATTAGATGATAATTGAGAAAGATAAATTTATATTGCTATTCCTTAATTTAAGAAAACTATCGAACTCCAACCTTGTGCCAGACTCTCTGCTAGGCTCTGGGAATATAGGTAGGGGGGGAAAAATTTCCTGCCTTTAATGGGTTTATAACCACGGGGGAGACAAAGCAGCCATTAAAATAGAGCAGGGGCTGCAAGGAGCACCAGCTGTGACAGCTTTGGGAGGGGACAGATAAACCCCTCCATCTGGAGCTGCACAGGAGATGGCCAAGCAGAAATAGAGGATGAGTGGTACTGAGGAGTCAGTAGGAGGCGGGACAGATGAGGGGAAGCATTTGGGAGAAAGGAACAGAGCACGCGGAGACCCAAGGCAAAACTAGGGTGACCACCATCCTGGTTTGCCCAGGGCTGGCCTGCTCTTAGCACTAAAGTCCCACTGCATCCAGGAACCCCTCCGTCACTGTGCCTTGTCCACGCCCTGGAGATAGAAAGCTGAAAACGTCGGCAGGAGTCCAAATTTAGGGACCAAGGCACACTAAGGAGTTCAGACTTTATCTTGAGAGAAGTTGAGCAATCAAGAAGTGATCTTATCCAGGGCAGTGACTGGCTAAGACTTGGATGTAGAAAGAGCTCTATCTGCTGGATAATTAAGAAGAGGGACAATTCTGCAGGGCTGGTCAGGGAGGCATTGCAGACGTCCAGGGACAAGACAATGGTGACTTAAAATAATGCAGGGGGAGGGAGAGAACCCTAGGATTTAGAATAGCTTAAGGAGAAGTAACAGAACTTGGAAATACAGATAAGGGGGGGGGTGCGGTGTTGGTGACAGACCGGGAGAAGTCAAGAATGGCTCCCCGGTTTCTGGCTTGGGCAACGCAAAAAGTCTTGGGAAGTAATTTGGATGGTTTGGAAAGACCTTCCCCACACCACCCTGCACAAGAATACCAACAAAGCAGCTGTTCTGCTTCCCATACAGCTCTTGTTGACCTAGAAATTCTCAGTTATTGCGCCACTGACCCAGAAGCCTCAGCCACAACCACTAGACTTACAGGAACAGAAGGAGGCTGGGAGCAAGAGAGGGAAGAAGACGGGCATTTATTATACTTGATACTCCCTAAATGATTTATGTCCTCTATCTTATTTAATTTTGGCAAGAATCCTTTGAGGCAGTCAGGTTGTTATCCTCATTTCATAGCTGCAGAATTGGGGACAAAGTGATGGGGCGCCAGTGGCCACAGCCACAAGCAGGCAGAGCTGGGCTTTAAACTCAGGTGTGTTTGACCATAAAGAACTTTTTGTTGTTGTTGGTTTTTTTGTTTTTTACACGCTGTTTCCCTCATGAGCACTAGTTTCTACCTGAGTGGACGTTCTGCACATCTACTGCCATACTTGACTCCATCTTCATTCAGCATTGGAGGGTGAAGACCAAGGCAAGGACTCCCCCCACTCTGAGAAGCCAGCTGAAGGTTGTTTCCAGGAGCAAGGAATGCGAGAGAGCTTCTTAATCCTTTGTAACTGGTCCCTGCACTTGTTATACATGCAAAAACCCTAAAGCCAGGGGACCTACGTAATTATCTTTGGGAGCATCAGGGCTAGGAGAAGCTATGGAGACAGTGTCCCAGTCAACAGCCAATTTAGGGAAGGAGGAAGTGTCGGGAGATGAAAGTCAAGAGATAGGGAGCTAGGGGAAGGACACAAAAGGGAAGAAAGGAATGCGTGATGAGTTTCCAGGGCCTCCCTCCAAAAGATAGGTGAGCCTGTCTAAACCTTACAAGGGCCTCTGGAAACCTAACAGCGGGACTCCTGTGACCCCTACATGGGAGGCTGCACTCCCAGCTCCAGGGACACCCTGGAGCCTCAAGAGAAACTCCAGTGCCAACCCCATCTCCTTCTTAACCAGCAAGGTTTACATTTTGATATGAATCTTGGCTTATCTCCTGCGAGGTCTTAATCTTTCTGTATTCACGTAGTAATCTATCCATTTTGCTTCTAGTCTTCTATTGTTATTTCTGCGTATATTTTACTCTCCCCAACCCCCCACCCGCCTTCTGGATTGGGAACTCTTCAGAGGATCCCAGTTTCATTCACTCTGTATTTCCACATTTTCTTTTATGCAGG